CACACACACACACACACACACACACACACACACACACATAAATAAAATTTAAAAAAAATTAAGGATCCATTTTTATTTCTTTTTACATTGCTATTCTAATTCTTTTACACATATGTTTACTATGTGTTTATTGTATCAATATCATAATGTTGGGGCTGGTGAGATGGCTTAGTAGAACAAGCACTTGCCTGGCAAGTGCAAGGGCCTGAGTTCAATCCCTGGTTTAAAAAAAAAAGTAATGTCTTATTATGGCAACTTTAATATAAGTTTTGATATCTGGTAGAGTAAGTGTTCCTCCCATGTTCTTCTTCAAGAGTGTTATAAAACTACTCTGGAGCCAGGAATAGTGGTGCATGCCTATAATCCTAGTAAGCAGGAGGCTGAGGCAGGAGGATCCCCATGAGTTTGAGGTCAGTTTGGACCACATAGTGAGTTCAAAGCCAGTCTGAAGTACACAACAAGACCCTGTCTCTAAATAAATAAGTAAACAAATAAACAGACAGACAAAACACTCTGGGAAGTTGAGGTAAGATCACAAGTTCAAACCCAGCCTGGGCAATTTAGTGATTTAGACCCTAATTTTTATTTTATTTTATTTTTAATTTTTGTATTTTAGGGAAGGGTCTACAGGGTGTTCAGGATCTCACTACTAGATCAGACTCATAGTGATCTGCCTGTTTATAGCCTCCCAAGAGCTGGGATTACAGGTGCGTGCCACCACACCCAGTTTCAATTGCCATCTCAGTGTTTTCCGGGGGCAGAGCCGGTAAGGCAGGCCTGGGGATTGACTCCCCAGCCCCTGTACCTGCTTGCAGGCGCTGTAATCCGCTGAGCTATTTGGCTGGCCCTTAGACCCTAATTTAAAAAATATATATATTTGGGCTAAGGATATATATAAGTCTGAGACCCTAGGTACTGCAAAAGAAATATTGATCTTAATTAATTAAAGTTGTACAGCCTTCATTCTTATCTAGTTTCAAAACATTCTGATCACCCTAAAAAGAATTCTATCCCTATTAACTGGTTATTCCCGGGATTTCCTGAGCCCCTGACTCCCACCAATCACCAGTCTGCCTTCTGGCTCTATGGATTCACCTATCTGGGATATTTCTTACAAATGCAAGCTTACAGTATGCCTCTAGATTCTTTCATGCAGCGCACTGGTTTTGCCAGGCAGGTGTGTGCCACTGAGCCACATTCAGCCAGAAGGTGGCCAGCATACTGGTTTTGAAGTTCATTGTATTTTATGTCACTTTCTGGGATTCCTGTGAGTCAGATTTAGAACCTCTATCTTAACCTCTGCATTTTCTGTTTTCTTTCTTTCTTTCTTTCTTTCTTTCTTTCTTTCTTTCTTTCTTTCTTTCTTTCTTCTTTCTTTTTTTTTCTTTCTTTCTGGTACTAGTAATTGAACCCAGAATATACACACTTAGCTACACCTTCAGCATTTCTTGGTTTTTTGTTTTTGTTTTTGTTTTTGTTTTTTTTTTTGGAACAGGGTTTTGCTAAATCACTATGTTGCTGAAGATGAGCTCAAACTTGGGATCCTCCTGGTTCAGCCTCCTGGACTGCTGGGGTAACAGGATGTACTATCACTGCTGGCTTTTTATTTTTTCCAGTACTGAGGATTGAGCGTTTTCATTGAGCTACATCCCCAGGCTTATTTATTTATTTATTTATTTAGTTTTGAGACAAGGTCTTGCTAAATTGTCCACGTGAGACTTGAAATTACAAAATTCCTGCCTCCACCTTTTTTCAAGTACTGGGATTACAGGCATGCACCACCATGCCTGAATTCTGTTTTCTTCTTCTGTTTTTTCTTCTCTTAGGAGAATGCCTTAATTTGATATTTCCAATTTATAAATTCACCCTCTATTATAACTGCTTTGTTAGTAGGCCATCTAGTGTGTCTTTAATTTAAATACATGGTCTTGTATTTCTTTGATATGTTATCCAAAGATGGGGTCTCTGCCTTTCCACTCCACATATTTTCTTTTTCTTTTTCTCTTTCTTTTTCTTCCTTCCTTTTGTTATGGTGTTGGAGA